TTTTTTTTTTTTTTTTTTTTTCCGGGGGCCCTATCCTTCTTCGGTCCCAAAAAGGGAATTAAAACCGAAAAAAAAAAGTAATTTTCTGTTTTGTTTTATTCTTTGATCGGGCTTTAAAGGGTTGACTAAATGCTGGGAAAATGGTTCATGCAGACAAGGAGGAGATTATCATGTCAGCTGTTAGGTGTGGTTATTAGTTTAAAGATTGAATAATTATTTTCTTTTCAAAGTGGTCACATTCCAGCCCCTAAAGCTAGAGCAAAATGAAAAAAAAAAAATATTAATAACCAGCTACCAGAATATTTATTAAGAAGCTTAATTTCTTTTTTTTTTTTTTTTTTGAAATACTCAGGCTCATTAAAACTCCATAAAAGTTAAACAATCCTCTGGACTTTGTTTCCAAGTTTGAAGACGTTTCGCTTCCCATCCAGGAATCTCTTTCAATTCAGAATGTCAGAAATAGCGTTGAGTTCCATGCTTTATAGAGTGGACCAAAAACAAAGCCTTGTTTGGGCTTAGAAAACGTTTTCTAAGCCCAAACAAGGCTTTGTGCGATGATAGTGGGAAGGGATCAACTCTATAGCCGCATTGTAGGTTTTATGAAAGCTGAAATAGCATAGATGGCTTCCAAAATGTGAACATTCTGGTCCTCTAAAGCAGGGGTCACCAACCTTTTTAAGGCTGAGGGCCACTTCAAGGGTACTGAGACTTAGGAAGGGCGGCCATTACTGACCCATGAGCTGCAAGGGTTAGCATTAGCCTAAACTTTGTTCATTATCAACATATTTTTATTGTTTCTGTTAATTTCTAAGTTTATTTAGACATTGTCATTTTGAAATCTCTATAAATGATTAAAAAGAATAGCAACAGAATAAAATAAAATTTCAAAATTAGCCCACTGGTGGGTTGTTCTTTATTTAGAAGACTCTGAGGGCCCCCCATGTGGTCCTTGAGGGCACTGCGTTGGTGACCCCTGCTCTAAAGAATGTCCTTTGTCCATAAGGTGTAGATGGACCACAGGGTCTTGTCCAGAGGAGGGCGCTCTTCTGTTTTGAGCCATGTATCTGTGGATGTTTTCTAAGCCAAAACAAGTTTTTGGGCTACTATATAAACCCTTGAACTCAACGCTAATTCTGACATTTTGACTTGAAAAAGCTTCCTGGATGGGAAACGAAACGTCTTCAAACTTGGAAACAAAGTCCAGTGAATTGTGCAAACAAGGATGATTCTTCTTCTTTCTCTGAGATGAAAACCCAGAATCATGGTGGGGGTGCAATGAGTGAAATGGAGTTCTTTCTGTAAAATTGACAGATCATAGTAGCCTCGTTTGCTCAGCCATGTCTTTGTCCAAATATGTCGTCTCCTTTTCTTTTTAGGGTTTTCAGCACAAATTGCCAAGGCATCGCGTTTTTAGCCTAGTGAGCTTCATATTCCTCTTCTACTTGTTTGACTTCCGGATAGACGAGTCCGAGTAGCGCCATCTCACTGCGGAGCTGAGTGTCATGTGGTTTTTAAACGTACAGCATGAGCAGGTAGATCGCATCTAAGTGTCGGATCGCACATCGTGAGAACAAACATCGTGAGCCGTGAACTTTTAAACCCTGCGGTTTCGTCGTATAGTGTGAGCTGTAGCTACGTGCAATGATTGAAAAAATCATAGGTTATACGCCCGGCTTAAGCAAAGACGAGGCTTTGTTGGGCTACTGTATAAAGACTTGATCTCAGCGCTATTTCTTACATTTTGAATTTACTTTTTTTGGAAAAGATCTAACTTTTTAACATGTATTCCCTGATGGCATTGGTTCAGATCACAGAGCACCACATCATGATGCTGGATCCTCCTTTTTTAGCAGCCTGATTTTATGTGGTGCTAAAAAAAAATTGAGTAATCAAGTTCCCAAAATCATTTTCTCAAAAGACAAGGAATAAGGAGAGAAAAAAAGACTTTGAAAGATCTTAAATTTTTGTTGAAGTCAGAGTTTTAACGCTCCTGAAAGTAATTTAAAACCGACTCGGATGAAACCTGCTGTTTTATTAAATTTGGATGAAGATGTGGAGAAATTAACTAGAATATTTAGAAACATGTGATGTAAACTTGTACTAATTCGGTTTCATTTTTTTTTTTTCCTTTCAGGTTAAGCCTCTTCTCCAGGTGTCTCGGCAGGAGGAGGAGATGATCGCCAAGGAGGAGGAGCTGCTCAAGGTGAAGGAGAAACAAATCCAGGCAGAGGAGCAGCTCAAAGAATACGAGGCGAAGCAGCAACAGGTGAGTCTCTGTGAATTTTTTATTTTTTTCTTTTCTAAGAAAACTCTTTAACGGAGTCCCGGCTCGGTTCCTCCCAGCTGAGCGCAGAGAAGCAGGCCCTTCAGGAGCAGCTGCAGGCCGAGACGGAGCTTTGTGCAGAGGCTGAGGAGCTGAGAGCCCGTCTGGCTACGAGGAAGCAGGAGCTGGAGGAGATCCTGATGGAAATGGAGACTCGGCTGGAGGAAGAGGAGGAGAGGGTCAATCAGATGCACAATGAGAGAAAAAAGATGCAGCAGAACATCACGGTTTGTGACGTTATAGACAGAAAGTCAATCCCTGGCATTCATTAATGTTTCTTTTTTCTATGCATTTCTAAGCATTGACTTTTGGAGGTTTGGTTTTGCTCCTGCAGGATTTAGAGCAGCAGCTCGACGAGGAGGAAGCAGCCAGACAAAAGCTTCAGATGGAGAAGGTCACCACAGACGCCAAGCTGAAGAAACTGGAGGAGGACATCATCTTGTTGGATGATCAGAACGGCAAACTTAACAAGGTTTCCTAGGAAACGTTTCATTCGCTTTACAACATGGCAACTAAAACGAGAGCATTTTAGTAATTTTTTCTTAAAATAAGTGCATTTTTTCTCAAATTAAGGATTTAAGTGAGACACTTTACCAATGGAACAAGACAATTTACACTT